CTGGTGTGGCACGGGGGCAGAAATGAGGGCTGGGGAGAGGTCCAGGTCCTGCCTTTCTTGGTCTCAGCATTCAGTCACTTAGATCCCTTCCATGCTTATCCTCTGTGCTGGGGTGAGGCCTCTCCTGCCAGGTGCCAAGCTTGCTTAGCCTCTGTCTACAGCCCCCAACTCTTATCCTCTTCCCATGCTCAAAGTTGCTCCCCCTCTCACTTTTTTTTCTCGGCCAAGGGTTTCCCTCATCCCCCACAGGGCCAGATTCCCTGGAAGATTTGAGGGACCCCCGAGGCTCAGGGTGGCCAAGTTCTTCTCCATATGACATTTCCTGCCACACAGGGTTAGGGTGAGGTGGGACTGTTGGGCAGAGCAAGGTGCCGTTTTCCTTCCATGATTACAAGGTAAACCAGGTGTGCAACCAGCATAGAGGCTGCAGGTGGAGGAATATGGTGCACTCAGTGGGCAGCAGAGGGCCAGCCAACAGGGTTGAAGATCTGGGAACATGCACTTCCATTTTCTTGAAGGAGGCAGGCAGACTCAAGCTGAGCTTCGAGTCACTGATGGTTTGGAGATCTGAAGGAGGGTGCCCCTCTAGCTGTTTGGAAGTTGTTCCAGCTGTTGGGAATGGCACAGCAGAATGCATGGACTTAGAAAATGAAATGAGGAGAATTGAGACAAGAGGGGTTCGATTGGAGAGAAGTATAGATGAGGATACAGCATAGCAATGGGGAAGGGACCCAGGCTTTGGTGAGGGGCCCATGAGTCCTAATCTGAGCCCCAGTACTTACCGGCTGTTTGATAAGTTGCTCAGCTTCTTTGAGCCTCCATTTTCTCATCTGTAAATTGGAGACAATAACCTGTGGCTCACAGGGTTGTTGTGAGGATGAGAGTTAATGAACATGTGGCTCCTAGCACACAGTAGGCATTCCATAAATGGTTGCTGTTATAGTAAGTCCAAGTAGAGAGCAACAGGAAGTCTGATGAGTGACGGGGAAGTAAGGGTGTATAGTTCAAATAGTGGGTAAAGGAACTGACGTTAACAGAAGTTCTTTGAAAAGATCACAGCAGAGCGAGGGAAGGAGAAAGTTGTAATGAGCTAGACTGGCCACAGAGTATGTATTCAGGGGTGGAGAAGGTAAACCCAATGAGTGAGATGCTGTAGAACCACAGGGTAGAGGCAGGGAAAAGAAGCGAGGGAAGAGGAAGAGAGCTTGAAGAGTTTGGCCTTAGCCACAAAAACTGATGAAGGTGGTCAGAAATTCAGAAGGAAATCTCAAAGCCCCATGTCCTTTCCTGACTAGAGGCTGGGTAATGGGTTGCCTGTGGAGAGGCATTCATGAATGCCACTGAGAGAATCTGGGGTTGCCTTTGAAGTAAGAGAGGGAGTGTGGAGTCTGAGGCTAAATGTAACCTCATCCAGCCCAACCAGGCTCCTCTTCCCCAAACTCAAAAGACACGAGGGTTTTCTTGTAGTTAGAAGGCAGACAGGGAAAGAGGTGGGAGCAGAGGTGGGAGAGAGGCAGACTTGATGAATGTGTGTGTGTATGTGTGTGTCTGTGTGCGCGTGTGTACACACGTGTGGCACCTGTGCACACACACAATCGCACAGGAATGTGTATAAGTTTTTGAGTTGTGGGCCTGGTCTCAGCTAGAATGCAAACTCCTTAAAAGGTAGACAGGCCCCCAAAGGCAGTGCTATATACAAAGGCTTTGAGGTCAGGCAAAAATAAACTTGAAATCTGACTCTACCACTTAGTAGCAGTGCAACTGCCATTGAGACAAGTTCCTTAATCTCTCTGAACCTCAATTTCCTTCTCTGAAAAATGGGGATAATATTACAGGATTGTTGTATGGACTAAGTGTGATCCCCTGATTTTGAACTGTGCTTGAGCCCTGGGGCAAATCTGAGTCTGAGGACAGGGCCAAAGCCTGACATGAACAGAGAGGTCCTATCTAATTAAATAGGAGGGTAAAACATGCCTGGAGTAACACAGAGCATATCAGTTCCTGGATTTTAACCCAAAGTCACTAAAATGGTTTGGATTTCAAAATCAGGTCACTCCCCTGGATGTTTTTGTAGTTGTTGGAGTCTTAAATGAAACCCTTGAGGTATTGATGTTGACATAATGATCAGCTCCTCTTCCCAAGTGGAAGGCAAAAATTGAGATCCCAGCGCCCACACAAGGGTCATTAGAAGCACCAAAGGGAGCTACTGGCTTATGCCCCAGAGGGCTCAAGAAGGTGAGAAATGGAGAGCTTCAAGAACCTAGGAACTCAGGGGTAGCCAGGCTGTCTTTGGGGACACGCCTGAGAGGCAAGGGGAAGAGAACAGCTGAAGTTTGCTTTGGCGTAAAAGTAAGCAGCTAGACAAAGATAAGGAGGGGGAAAAAAGAATAAATCAGGAGGCAATGGAAAGCCCTGGGAAGGAAGGAGAGGAAAAGAGTTGTCCGTTGATAGGAAAGGAGAGAAGGAGGAGGGGCTAAAGGAGAAGACAAGAGAGACCAGTTTTGAATTTCCCTGTTTCTAATAGAAAAGCTATAATTTTATCCAAGGCAGTAGAGTTTATGAGAAAGAGTATGGGCTCTGAAGTTAGTTTGGCCTGGCTCAAAGGCCAGCTCTGTCACTTACTAACTGCGTGACCCCTGGACAAGTCCTTTCAGCTTCCTTTGCTTCGGTGTCCTCATCTGTGAAATGAGGATAAAAACACCCACCTCATGGGGTTGTTCTGAGGATTACACAAGATATTGTGCATGCAAGGACCTGGCACACAACAAGTGCTCAGTGAATGCTCGTTATTAATTCTCCTTGACCGCTTGTTTTCAAGTCTAACACATCTCAATAGAGGAAGCACTATTTTAGAGCTAACTGTAGTACCTCCAGCAGCAAGCAGCTCTGCCTTCGAATCCCAGGCTTGGAGAAGGGGCACCTGTACTCCTGCCTCACCACACTGGTTTGGGCATACAGCATGGACTCACTAAGGCTTTTTTTTGTTTTTTTTTTTTAGCTAAATAAAGAAACCTTGTTCAGAGAAGTAACCTATGTCCCATGAACCGTCCCTTCTCCCATTTTCTTTCATCCCCTTCCCCCAACCTCTTCCAGTTACTGATGTCCTACCCTTTTCCGCTACAACAGAGACGCCCATCCAGAGATGGGTATGGGGCTTCTACTGAAGTGGAGTGACGATTGGGGGCAGGAAATGCCCCTGCATTTCCTACGCGTCCAGGCCTGTGCGTTCTCATCATATCCCACTTCCTTGCTTCTAGCTTGATCTCCTTGCAACTTAGTAGCAGAAGTAGAGGGAGGTGGGGAGAGGCCTTCTTTGCCTGCCTGAGGGGGGGCAGAGGGGAATTTCTTCCCTAGAGCAACTGGCAAGCTCATGAAAGCAGGATGTTACAATATGCACTTGACATTAGGGGCAGGGCAGTAATGGAACAGTCTGCTCTATCCCAGACAGACGCTATAGGTCAACAAAGCATCAAGAAACAAAAAAGAGATCTTGTGTTTTAGCAGACCACTTGGTCCCTCAAAGCAACATTGTTTTCTCTTCCTGAAAAGGTTCTTACCCCCTTGATCACCAACTATGAAACTGGAGCTGAGCTAAAAACTTTTGCAGGTTGCCTCATAGAACTTCACAATAACCCTTGGTACTAACCTCATTTATATATGAGCAAACAGGCTCAGAGTTCAGTAACTACCCCAGGTTGTATTAAGTGAAAAACCAGGATTCAAACCCAAGGCTATGTGACTCTTACATATTCAGTCTCCTAACCTTCTGTCTGCTGGCAACCCTCTGCTTTCTCCTTCTGTCTTGTACTCACATATACCCACCTCACCACCTCATGGCTGGGTTCCCTTTCCTGAAGCTCAGTGAGGGATGGTCAGAGTTTGCGCTATGACACTGCAGTTGAAATGTGCTCACAGGTCCACAGCTTCCATGCTTTTTGTGCTTTTACCAGCAATATTAGATTTTGCTTTTTTTTTTTTTTAACCCACTAGCCTTTGCTTTTGCTGATACCATCTGTAAAAACACAAGGAGTACACTGTGGGAACACCCTAAACTTCTGCTTCAGATACTTTTGTGTTTCATCCTACCGTGCCACTTCCTAGCTGTGTGACCTTGAGTGAGTTACTTATCTGAGCTTCAGCTTCCTCATCTGGAAAATGTGGTAACAATCCTTAAAGGCTTACTAATGCCAAAAACCAAACCTACTGCTGTGAATTCCAACGCACAGCGACCCAGTAGGACAGAGTAGAACTGCCCTGTAGGGTTTCCAAGGCTGTAAATCTTTACAGAAGCAGACTGCCACATCTTTCTCCCGGTGGTTTCCAACCGCCGACTTTTGGGTTAGCAGCCGAACACTTTAACCACTGTGCCACCAGGGCTCCTAAACCAAAACCAAACCAAACCTGTTGCTGTCGAGTCAATTCTGACTCACAGTGACCCTATAGGACAGAGCAGAACTGTCCCCATGAGGTTTCCAAGGAGCGGCTGGTGGATTTGAACTGCTGACCTTTTGGTTAGCAGCCGAGCTCCAGAGGCTTACTAAGCAGGTTTAAAAAAAATTGTATGGGAAAATGCTTAGAATGGTTCCTGGCTTGATAAATATGAGCTCCCTTTTTTTCCCTCTAGCTCACCCATACCCTGGAGGGGATCTAAGCCTAGGAAAAATCCTGCTGACCCTAAGTTTCTGGTAGGGCCATTAGGGGAGGATCTCAGCCCAGAGCCTCCTGGTCCCCTGAGGTCCTCTCTTACATACACCTGTCTCTGTCCCATCTCTCTTCCTCTCCCCACCCCCGTGGCCGTTCTTCTGATGGGGCTATGGGGCGGGTGCGGCGATGGACCGGGCGGGCACAGAACAGGTGGGTGCAGGCTGGGTGTCGGGCGCTGGGACACAAGTGCTCTGTGTGTAGGGTGGGCGGAAGTCAGGGCGTTTGATCTGAATTCTAAAGGGCGTTGTTCAGAGCCCCACAAAAGTCCCATTGTGCAGAACTGGGTATAAAGCAGCATATGACTCCCCAGCACCGGGCGGTGATGAATTGGAACGCAGGCGCGGACCCAGGGACTACTCCCCCTGCACAGACATGAGCCCATAGGGGACCTGTCTGGGTGGCCTCAGGGACAGGCGCTCCCCAAGGTAACAGGGCTTTGTTGGTTTTGCCCCAGGTCCAGAGCTAAGGAGCTGGGAGATGGGGAGCAGGAGGGGGTGGCTGATGGGCGAGCAAGAAGGTCTGGCAAAGAGAAGGGCTGGAGAAGAAAGAATGCTGGATGAAAGTGAAGAAGGGGGATGGGGCTCAAGGAGGCCAAGACAAGTGAGTGAGGAAGAGGAGAGGCTGGCAAGGGAGATAGGGTGATGAGGAAAGCTATGGCTATCCTTCTTCCTTTCCTGCACTGACTCTTGATGAGGATGGGGGAGTGGGGGTGGGGTGGCTGGCAGTGTTATGGGCCTGAGCTTTCTGTCCCAACTCTCTGACAGCTTGCTTTGTGGCTCATGTTTTGCAGGTGTGAATGAAGCAGGATGAACTGGACAGGTTTGTACACTTTGCTCAGTGGTGTGAACCGGCATTCCACTGCCATTGGCCGAGTATGGCTCTCGGTCATCTTCATCTTCAGAATCATGGTGCTGGTGGTGGCTGCTGAGAGTGTGTGGGGTGATGAGAAGTCTTCTTTCATCTGCAACACCCTCCAGCCTGGTTGTAACAGTGTCTGCTATGATCACTTTTTCCCCATTTCCCATGTGCGTCTGTGGTCCCTGCAGCTCATCTTGGTTTCCACCCCAGCTCTCCTTGTGGCCATGCACGTGGCTCACCAGCAGCACATAGAGAAGAAAATGCTGCGGCTTGAGGGCCATGGGGACCCCTTACACCTGGAGGAGGTGAAGAGGCACAAGGTCCACATCTCAGGGACACTGTGGTGGACCTATGTCATCAGCGTGGTGTTCCGGCTGCTGTTTGAGGCTGTCTTCATGTATGTGTTTTATCTGCTGTACCCTGGCTACGCCATGGTACGATTGGTCAAGTGTGAGGCCTACCCCTGCCCCAACATCGTGGACTGCTTCGTGTCCCGCCCCACGGAGAAAACCGTCTTCACCGTCTTTATGCTAGCCGCCTCGGGCATCTGCATCATACTCAACGTGGCCGAAGTCGTGTACCTCATCATCCGGGCCTGTGCTCGCCGAGCCCAGCGCCGTTCCAATCCGCCCTCCCGCAAGGGCTCGGGCTTCGGCCACCGCCTCTCACCTGAATACAAGCAGAATGAGATCAACAAGCTGCTGAGCGAGCAGGATGGCTCCCTGAAAGACATACTGCGCCGCAGCCCGGGCACTGGTGCCGGGCTGGCTGAGAAGAGCGACCGCTGCTCAGCCTGCTGATGCCACATACCAGGCAACCTCCCATCCCGCCCCCACCCTGTCCTGGGCCTGCCCCTCCTTCTCCCCTGATGCTGCACAGGCCTCTACCTGCTAGGGATCATTTGATCAAAACCTCCCCTCCCTCCCACTTACCTTCCTCCCAGGGCCTTCTGTCTGAGGGGGCGGAGCTGGAGGCCACCGAAACCCGTGCCCCAGGTTATCGGGGGTGTGGGCAACTCTTGCTGCCTGTACTCTTTCCTCTTCCCTCTCCCTTTCCCTGGGACCACTGGGGACAAGAAATGAGATGCTCTGACAGCACCTCCAATTATGAAACTAATCTTAACCCCGTGCTGTCAGATACCCTGTTTTCTGGAGTCACATCAGTGGGGGAGGGAATGTGGGCAAGTGAAGTGAAGGAAGGGGTGCTGTGGACTTGTGGAAGGAGAAGGGAAGGTAACAACAACAACAAAAAAGCTTGCCAGAGGGCAAGTCTAGGGTGGGGAGTTAGGGAGGGAGAAGCAGGCAGATAAGTTGGAGCTGAGGTTGATCAGGGCTGCCTTTGCCTCTAGTCCCCAAGGCCTCTCTCTGCCTGAAATGTTACACATTAAACAGGATTTTACAGTAAATGAGGAGGTGGCTTGTGTGTTTGTCAAGTTCTTTCTCCTGTAACCTCTGACCGCCCCCTGGATGAACTGGCCTTGGCTTTTTGTAGATCAAGAAAGGAATGGGGCAAAAGAAATAGTGATGTAAGGAGCTGAAGCTGCAAAATGATAGAGAAATTTCTCAAGTTCAAGAGGGACTTGCATATATTCCCTGCGCACCTTGTTGAGGACCCCCTCTCCCATACTCCTGGGAGAGGTATTCCCCTTAGTCCCTCAAAACTCCAGCATTCCCTGCAAACTGATGTCCTGCAACCCACCTGTGGGATTGCACAATGACTCTGACCCCTTTCCTCTGGACATAGCCCCTGATTCCATCCTCCTCCTCAATTCCCTTCCCTTAGGAATAAATATCCTCTACCCTAGAGACGCCTCCACCACAAGTCGAAAAACTCACAGCAGCAGTTTCCTGCTAGCATCACTCTCCAAAATGGGAGATAGCTTCCCCTCTCCCTGACAGCTGGGGTGGGAAAAGCCCCAGGCTGGGACTTGACAAAGCTGGGTTCAAGTCCTGGTTCTGTCACTTATTAGCAAGGCATTCTTTTCCTCAAAACTCAGTCTCCTTGTGAGCAAACGTGGACTGGCCTAGCACCTCTCTAAGCTCCCTTTAACACTCTGTGCTTTGGGGATTCCTAAAGATTTCCTCAGCCTCACATGAGTTTCATCTCAGAGCTACTGCCCTCACAAATGGTCCCTCATAGTAAAAGTTTCCTCCATGGCAAGGTTCCCTTCTCATCTTCCCAACCTCCCAAGCAGGAAAAATTATTTGCCACTCCCTCTCAGAATATGCTGACTCCATGTGAGGAGAATAGCAGAAAGGAAGAGAGACTCAGGCATAATCTCATTAGAACTGTTCTCCCTTTTGAAACAGTTTTTTTTTTTTTTTTCAGAAAGCATGGAAGTTTTCCTCATTCAAGGAAGTTTCTCCTTTAGAAAAGGAAGGAGAAAGTATTCTTTCTCTCACACTCCATAACCCCTGAGAAAGAAAACTTTTCCCCTCTCTCTAAAAGAGAAACATTCCTTCCTGCAAGAGATTTCCTTTCTCCTTAGAAACTGACATCATACCCTGTCAGAGGAGAGATCCCCACCCTCCTCAGGGTGGGAGAGGTTTCTTTTCATACTGAAATACATCCCCTCCTCCCACAACACAACACAACAAACACAGAGTATCCCCTCTCAGTCCTAAAGGCCATCAAGAGAAAGATTTTTCTTTTTAAAATTCCATCCTGGTCCATGAGGGAGCCTCACGCCCTCCCCACACTGAAAAATGCTAAATCCATCGTTTCCTCAGAAATCTAGTTTCTCTTCAAAGGATTCTACCAGTTCCCCCTTGGAAAGAGGCTCCAACTCCAGACTGAGGCTTTCCTCCCCACGGGGCAGTGGTGGGACAATAAAGCTACTGGGCTGGGTGTCACTGCAAATAGGGGATACTTTATTCTTGTGTCCTGTGGCCCAGGTAGGGGCAGGCCAAAGGAACCTGGAAGGTAGCTGGTGTACACAGTGTCTCAGGGAGGTCAGAGGGAGGGTCAGGCTAACCCCAGGGCTGACTTTTTAATTTGAGGCTCTGCCACAAAAGTGTGAGAGAGAGACAAGGAGGCAATTGGGGCTTAGTACCTGCCACAGAGTAGATAGATACTCAATGTGCTGAGTAACTGGGCTAGTAAAGAGGGTATTTGAATTAGGAAACCTGGTTCTTCATTTACTAGCTGTATTCCCTTGGACACATTATTCTTACCCTCTCCAGATCTCAGTTTCCTGATCGATGATATAGGGTTAATAATAACCTCCCTACCTCTTTCACAGAGCTTTTGTGAGAATCAAACAAAATGTGCTCAAAAGCTGTTTATAAGCTGTAAAAACAGGTAAGATGGTATCATAAGCACTGAGACCATAGCCTTAAGGTATGCTAGGTACTTGAGATGAGCCAGAAAGGAGTGAGGCTGGTTCAGCTAGGCTAAAGCCAGTATAAAGAACTTGGCAATAGGACTGGCTCCCCCCAGGGAGTGGACAGCAATCCAAACAGCAAAGTCCAAGAGATGTTGCAAACTTGAGCATGACCCATTTAGGGGTCAATATCCAAGGGGTTTGATCTGGGGGCAGAATAGACCTAATAGGAGGTTATTGCACACTGTCGCTCATGGTATCAGTGCTTTTTAGGGACATCTATGGTCTTTTTGTTTTGTTTTTTGTTTTATTGTGCGTTAGGTGAAAGTTTATGGCGCAAATTAGTTTCCTATTCAATAATTTATACACAAAGCGTTCTGTGACATTGGTTGCAATCCCAGCAATATGTCAGCCCTCTCCCATTTCCACCCTGAGTTCCCTGTTCCCATTCGTCAGGTTTTCCTGCCCCTTCCTGCTTTCTCATCTTTGCTTTTGGGCAAATGTTGCCCTTTTGGTCTCATACAGTTCATTGTTCTAAGGAGCACTTTCCTCACGAGTGTTATTGTTTATTTTATAGGCCTGTCTATTATTTGGCTGAAAGATGATCTCTGGGAGTGGCTTCAGGTCCAAGTTAGAATGTTCATCTATGTTCTTTTAAGGAAGTCCCAGTCGCCTAACAGTTAAGCACTTGACTGCTAACCCTAAGGTTGGCAGTTCAAACCTACCCAGCTGCTCTGCATGAGAAAGGCCTGGTGATCTGCTTTTGTAAAGATTAGAGCCAAGAAAATCCTATGGAGCAGTTCTTCACTGCCACGTGGGGTCACCATGAGTCAGAACTGACTTGACAGCAAAGGGTTTTTTTTTTTTTTTTTTTTTTGGTGCACATGTGTGTTCTTTTAGGGGCATCTCTGTGCAGAGATGCCAGGAGCTGGGGATAAAGAGACAGAAACAGCTCCTGGATGAAGGAGGCTGGCTGAACTAGGAGCGTAATCAAGGCCCCAGCCAGCTGAGTTGGGATTTCAAGGCAGGCTAGAGTATCCATAGAGAATTGGCATGGCAACCACAAACTGGTTCAGATGTCCAATCAGATAGCCTGGGCACACACAGAGAGCACTAGAGGGGGAATGTTTGATCCATTTACTGATTCCATAATACTTAAATGCCAGACCTGACCTATGGTAGAGAAGGGGCTATACAATCCTACCAAGCTGGGTTCCCTTTGATTCCTGGACTAGGCCAGGCTGAACCTGCAGAGTCAAGTGGGGGAAGGATTGGGGTGTTCTAGGAAGGAGGAATAATGTGGGCAAAAAACACACAGATATTTGAAAGGGTCTGGTGTGTCTTCAAAACTCATTGCTGTTGAGTCGATTCTGACTCATTGCGACCCTAAAGGACAGAGTAGAACTGCCCCATAGGGTTTCCAAGGCTGTAAACCTTTATGGAAGCAGACTGCCACATCTTTCTCCTGGGTGTGTCTTCAGAGTTAGGCAAATAATCTGCTGTGGCTAGAATGGAGGGTTCGAGGAGTGGAATGGCTAAAAGTGAATTGGGAAAGATAAACTATGACCAGCTCGTGATGTGTTAATAGGTAGTGGGAAACCATTAATGGTTTTGAGTAGGGAAGTGACACCTTCAGATTTGTATGTTTGGAAGCTCACTCTGGCAGCAGCGTGGAGAATGAATCAGGGATTGGAAAGATTAGAGGCACAATGACTAGTTACTGAGCTGTTTGCAATAGCCCAAGTGGGGACTGTAGGACTAGGATGGTGGCAGAAGGCATAATAAGAAGAGACAGATGTGAGAGAAATTTTGGATGTAGACTCTACAAGACTTGACGTCTGAGTGTGGGGAGATGGAGGAGCCAAAGATAATTTGGAGGTTCCCTTCCCCTTCTTTGACTGGCAAACTCCTAATCATTTAAGACTCAGCTGAAATGTCATTTCCTATGTGAAGCCTTCAACTCTCTTCTCTTCCTCCAACCAAGTTTCTCAGCGAGAATGAGTCTTCTCCTCCACCCTGAGTTCCCATAGTACACTGGAGTATATGTCTATTAAACCCGTTGCTATCAAGTCGATTCTGACTCATAGCAACCCTATAGGACAGAGTAGAACTGCCCTATACGGTTCCCAAGGAGCGGCTGGATTCAAACCGCTGACCTTTTAGTTAGCAGCTGAGCTCTTAACCATTGCACCGCCAGGGCTCCGTATGTCTGTTAGAGTGTGGTAATTACTTGCATGCTTGACACACAGTGGGTGCTTAGTAGCTTGATGAATTAACGGCAATCAGGAAGAGGACACAGGCATGTGCAAAGGTTCAGTGTCTTGAAAGAGTGTGTTTGGTATGACTAGAGCAGAGAATGCATGGGGTGAGGGGTGGGCTGGTTGTAGTAGGAGGTGAGACTGGCAAAGTAGGTTGGGCCAGTTAGTGAAGGATCTTATGTATTGTGCACAGAAGCTTGCACAGGAGTTTGGACTCTCAGCTATCACATGTAGGTCTTAAAAGTTAGGCGACTACTAGACTAACAGGCCTGGTATCACAATGGTTAAGCACTTGGCTGTTAACCAAAAGGTTGGCAGTTTGAATCCACCCAGGGGCTCTGCGGGAGAAAGACCTGGTGATCTGCGCCTGTAAAGATTACAGCCTAGAAAAACCTTGTGGGGCAGTTCTGCTCTGTCACACGAGGTCGCTATTTACTTGATGGCACCTAACAACAACAACAAGATTAAGGGTGAGAAATGGTGAAAGCTGAGGGAGAGGCTGCCTTGTGCTCAGACAGGGAAGGGCGGTGTGGAGGCAGAAGGCCTGTCCAGGGATCTCTGCCTGGAGCAGGATCCAAAAATTGTCCATCCCCACGAAGCAAGGCAATTTGTGGTGTGCAGGAACAGGAAGAGACAGTTATTCAGAATCCTTACCCCCAAATGCCTAAATCAAGATAGGCTTTTGAAACATGCCTGCGATTACAGTTTCCCCTCTAATCTCCCCTCTCTCCTTTCGGTTCCTCCTCCAGCTTCCCTTCCTCCACGCCTGAAATTCCTTGAACAAGGGACAAAGCCTTTCCTTCCTCCATTAGAGACAAATGTCTTGAAATGCAGATACCTTG